AATTTTTTAATTGTGAAATATGTGTGGTTTTGTGAATGATTTTTTAAGTGGTCTTACTTTTTTGCTCAATACTGTATATATAAATCCCAAAAACTTTTAAATATTAATTTTTCAAATAATCAATATTAATTAAAATAATTTACTAAATAATTTTTCAAACAAATTTCAAACATTTCTTTATACCTTATTTAATAATTTTATTATCAAAATTATTATCAAAAAAGATTTCTTTTCTTTATCACTAATAATTAATTTATCTATAAGTAGGATTTAATTTAAAAATTACCTTTAAAATAACTTTATTATTGATTAAAACACAAAAAAATCTAATTAAAATCAAATAATTATCTAAATATAACTTTGTTTTAATATTTAAATAAACATAAAAGAGTCTTATCTATATACTGTTTAAAATAAAACAAAAAACTTATTACTAAAATTACATCAAAAGTATCTAAACAAATTCCTTTATAATTAATTTTTGTTTTTAATTCATAAAATCATCTATATTCGGTATTAAATAATAAAATAGTATAATTTAATTTAAGTTTTTACTTGAAATTTAATAAAATTAACACAATAAACAGTCAATAATCTTTACATATTCATTCTCAATCAATTATTATTTTTTAAATTATAATAAACATGATAGAATATTCTCTTTTATAAAAAAAAACAACTTTTTTATAAAACTAGTTTAATAAAGGTTTTCTTTGTATTATTAAAGAAACTTTCTAAAAAAATTTCTAAACTATTATATAATAAAGTAAATTTTTTAATCACAAAAAAAATTTTTCTTAATTTTGTTTAAAAATCTTTTAATTTGTACAATTTATATTAATCGTTATCAATATTTATGAACTTATATTTAATCAGCTATATTATCTCAATTATTCAGTTATTAAAATAAAATTAATAAATATTTATTGAACAAATTTTATTAATTTTGTAAAAATTTGTTTAAAAGATGCTTATTATCACTAACAAATTTTTCTTTCAAATTAAACTCAACAAGAATTAATTTTTTTCGTTCATCACAAACCGTGTTATTTTTAATACACTTTAAAAATAAAGATCCTCTAACGGATTGTGGTATCAAACCACATAAATATTTTAATATTTCATTTGAAATATTTTCATCAATAAACGACTCATAAAAGATTACTGAAATCATATTTAAATTTTTAGAAACCGTTTTTAATATTGTTCTAACTATAACTCCTATTTGATCATCATTTAATTGACTGCTTAATAACGACCCATTCCCATTAACTCTTATTATATTCTTATTAAGTAAATTGTATATAATTAATATTGTATTCTTCTTCAAATCTTTGTCTATTAAAAAATTAAATATCTCTTTATAGTTGATATAAGGATTATAATAGAGTGCAAAGTCATGTAGAAATATTATTAAAGCATTTCTGATTTCAGGGCCATTATCTACATTAGTTAAATTAACTAAATATACATCTTTATAATATTTATGAAATGTTCTTTGTGATACCAACATCCATTTACACAATGATATATTTGCTAATTTCCTAATTAGTAAATTATCAGAAAAACACTCTTTTATTAATAATTCTTTAAATTGATTTAAAACATTACTAGGGTTATTTAACAAATCATATTCTTTTAACTGATAAAAATAATTACTAACTTCAATATCATTCATTTCATTAATAAATTGAAAATTTTCCTTTAAATCTTCTTGATTGTTATCATTCTTTGAATTTTTAATATCATTTTCTATTTTAGTTAATCTGTTAAACTCAAGTAACGCCAAAGATCCAATAAAGTCTAATAAGTTAAGCTTATTTTTTGATTCAATTATCATCTTAAGTAATTTTAAAGAATTTTTTTCTGGATCTTTACTTATACTATAAAATACCTTTAAAGTATCAGATATAATGTTATATTCATAAAATCTCATTTTAATAATATTCTTAGTTATAATACCAAATATCTCATGTTTATATTCTATTTTAGGAGAATTACTTACAATATAAAGTGTATTTTTATACGAGTTAAGATTTTCAATTAAATTATCAGAATGTGAATTAAATAACAATTGAGTTGTATATTGAATCAAGTATAGAGTTAATTTTGTTGATATTGACTTATTTAAATGTCTTAATATATAGATACTTTCAGATATTAACTGATTGTTTTTAATATTAACCAATAAGGGTTCATAACTAACATCTAAGTGTTTAATTAACTCTTCAAAAGCTTTGTTATTTACAAACTGGTATATAACATTCTTTTTTGATTCAATCACATCCTTAAATATTTTTATAATATGTTCCTTATATTCACTATTAAATACCAAATTAAGTACTTTAACCATTCCATTATAAGAGTTATCAAGATTATATAAAAAACACAACTTAATAAATGTACATATTTCCAATATATCGGTCTTAAGATTACAATCTAACATAAATATACACTTTTCTAATGCTGTATTCATTAATTGAACAAATGATTTAAATTCCTTTTCATATTCAACGTTACTGTGAGTATTTGAAATACTTAAATTATTTCCTTTATTTTTAAACGGGTGATTTAATAATAATTGTGATAATAAATTCAATACTTTCTTTCTTACAACTACAGTCTTATCAACTATTCTTTCTAAAATTGATTCAATAACCATGTTTCTCTCTTTAAGTAAAATAAAATGATTTCGAAACAGAAATGACAGTGTCCCTAAAACTTTGTTTCTTACAACGTAATTAACATCTCGTAACCTTTCACAAAGTATTTTAGTAAGATTAGCTATCTCTTCAAGATTATTCACTTCTTTAAAATAAACTATTAATCCTTCAATAATTGATATGAATGCTACTCTTAGATTATGATTCTCATGATTTAATAAAGATATAAAATTGTTATAATTTACATAATAACAAGAGTCTAACTCTTTAAGTATAAAGGATAATGTCTTCTGAGCCTTTACTGATAATGAATTTAACTTAAGCAGTGATTCTTTTATAAACTGTTCACTATTGTCCTTATTTAATGCAAATAAAATAATTTCACTTGCATTATCATTTGATTCTAATAAACTAATCAATGTTTTAATGTTAATGTTAGTTTGATTCTTAATATGTTCTTTAATTGATTCTGAAAGATCTTTATAATGTTTCTCTATTATGATCAAAGCTAGTGAATTTGTGATTTTATTACCTAAAATTTGAATTGATTTGTTTATTTCTATAAAATCATATTTAGTAAAATATTGTACTAAGAGTGTATCAATATCTGTTGACTCTTCATCTAATATATTTTTTAATATTGTTAAATGATTATTTTGATTTATATTTTCAAAGTAATTCATTGATATTTTTAATTAAAAAATTTTATAGAAAAAATAAATAGATTATCAATTTAATGATTTATTTTAAAATTTCTTAAAATAAATTGTTTAATCATTAAATAAGTTTAAATTTAAGAATAAATTTTAAAATAAAAAATAAAAATAAATTTTTAACCTATGAATTTGTTAACACTTAATAATATTATTTGTTTAAAGAATAAAAATACTTCAAATTTTGATAATGAATTAATTAAAATTGAAAATTCATTAGAGAAATTGCTTAATAATGATTTATCAAACTATTGTTTTAATAGAAATAATCCATATGAATTTCATAATAAATCTATTAAAATATTTGAAAATGAATTTAAAAATATAAAACAGAAATTTACTATTCTAATTAAAAATCATTTTAATAAGAAAAAAGAAAATGTTAATTTATTTGATTTAGTAATAAAAAACCAATTTAATAATGATAAAGTATTTGAAGTTTACAATAAGATAGTATTAATTAACATGTATATTTATGAAATTAATTTTATTAATTATATAGAATACTTTGTAAAAGAATTAAAAAATTCTTTAGAAAAAATTTCTATTATTGCTAAAAATACTGTAAATTTACAAGAAGGTGTTTTTAAAGATAAAATTAGAGTTTGTGATTTATTGAATTTTGATGTTAGCTCAATTGAAAATAAAATTGAAGATTCATTATTGAATGAAATAAAATTAATAGTTACATGGATTACTATAAAGATTATGTGTAAACATTCTGGAAAAGATCTTAAAATTGACATTGTAAGTGATTTATATGATGGTGATTTTAAGTTTTCAGATGATGATGAGAGTGTTAAATATTATGAAAAGTTGAAAATTTTTAAAGAAAAATTCATAGAAAGCATCATGTATATTGAAGCAGTTGAAACATTAAGAGAGATTAACAATAATGCTAATTTTTATATCGAATTCTTTTACTTTTTTGAAAATAATTCAATGATTTTTGATCATTTTTACATTAAAGATAATTAATAAAGTTTTTATTATTTATATAAATAATATTATTATATTTTAAATACAAATTAATATTAATTAGTTTTTTTATTATTTATATAAATAATATTAAATTCTACTTATAAACTTATAAAAATAAATTACTATTAAAAAAATAAAATTTGTTTTTAAATGAATTTAAAGGATTTAAAAGTAAAGCAATTAGAAAGATTAAAAAATAAGTTGATTGATTTAAAGGAAAATAAACAATCTAAAATTAATCTTGGTGAGAAATTGAAAGAAATTAACAAGATATATACATGTGTAAGCAATCTGTTTGAGTATAATGAATTTGATACGACTAAAGTAAGTTTTGATGAATATGAAGGTCGTGTTTTGGGAATAAAGGAGGATAACTTTGAATACTTTGAACAATTTGTTGTGGGTAAAAAGGTAGATTTGGCTTATGAAATATTAAAAAAAATAAGAAATTCTAAAATTTGTGATTTTTGTGGGGATAAAGATATGGAAGATTCTATTAAAAGAATTTTTATAGAAGATTTTTGTATTTTTTTACATGAAAAGTGTAACTATGATTTTTTTAATAAAATTTAAACTATTAAGGAATATTAAATATTGTGTTTTAATATAATTTATTGATTTTTAAGATAATTCAAAAAGACGATTATGATAATTGTAAATTTTACTTCTTATGATTGTTTTTTTTTGTTAATTTAAGTGATAAACTACTACATTAATATTTAAAATAAAATAATTAAATTATAAAAAAGGAATTTTAGAATTTTAGAATATTAAAAATTAATATTTAAATAAGATTAAGCTGAACAAACACTAAAAGTAATTGTGGTGGTTGTTACCACCTTGCATGCTTACGTAATTGTTTAAAATTGATCTCTTTGTATTCATATTTTATTAATTAAATTTATGGTTTAAAATTTTTAATAAAAATTTTACAGCTTATAATATTTATATATAAACTTTAAAATATATATATGAATTTCCAAGTTATGATAATAACTTAAAGCTATTATCATAGTTGTTATTTTTATCACAACAGTAATATTTATTTGTTTTAATGTTTATGTATAAAAAGTATAAATTAAAAAATTTTTTAGAATAA